ATGAAAATGTAATCAGAAATGGTTGAGTCAACAAATTATTGCCGCCGCTCAACAAACCCGAGCAAAATCTGCGCAAAATAAACGCGAAGGGAACATCGCGGCGAGCTAACGATGTGGTTACATAGACTCGTTTTGCCATCAACAGCCAATAAAGCAATCCAATAAAGTGTCGGGGCGGGGCGAGGGGGGCGCGCGGGCGGCGCGGGGGGGGCTCTCGATGGAGCCTCATATCTCGGGCAATTACGACAAAACAAATGAGAGCTAACGAAATTCACCTCCAAGAGAGATCAGCAAGGGAACAGCGGATGAGTAGAGGTAATTGTTTTTTTATTTATAATTCTTTGGTATTGTGCCATACCACGCGCCTTCAGCAGCTCTGGTTACTTTGTCTCATTTCAATAAAGTGCTTTACTGTAACGTGTATTGTCCAACACTCTTACACTATTTATTACATATGTTATGTTACAGTATTAAAAAGGTGAATATTCTACTGTTACTATTTTCCGATGGTAAAAATTATACAATTAGTTAGAACACCACATGCCATAATAGGTCAAATTCATAAATGACAACATTACGAAGACAGGATGAAAACACAATAATTTAATATTACTATTAATAGCTCCATGGTTTTAGCTGTGCGCAGTGAGCGCCAAAGGGCTGTGTGTCGGGTGTTTTAGGGTTTTTTCAGCGGCTTTGACTTGCAAATTGTCGTCGCCGCGCCCCCGGGCCCGCTGTAATTAAAAATCGGGAGCGACCTCAGCGCTGCGGCGGCGAGTAGCAGAACTAACTTAGAGGTTGGTTGAAAATATAGAGAACTCAATTGTTAAAACTTAAAATTAGTGTACCACGAAATGACAATTTGAAATCGTAAAAGACAAAAAACTATAAATCTCTTGTGTGTTTTCAATTAATTTTTTTTGTTGATATTTTACTTAGACAACTAGTTCTTCTACTGGATAATAGATGGCGTTATTAAAATGTAGTAAAACCGAATTTGTGAAATCAAATAATTAAAATTTAGTTTTATTTTAACTTTTATGTTGAATATTTTCATTAATTTTTCATAATAAATTTGATGTTAAAAATTTAAATGGTTTAATTTCTTATAAGAACTCACATTTAATTCGTCACAAAACCAACAAGAATTGTTACACGCACGATAGTAACTTACTGAATGACTGAATTAATCACTCTTAATGAATATGGAACATGTATTAGTACTAACGAGTGCAATCCAAATATTCCAGCGGCGGAGGGGGGGGGGGGGTCTAACGCGCGCTTCTCGTGTCGCCGCTAATTTACTACTGAGCCACAGGCGCTCACCGCTTGCTGACACAAATTATGAATATTAGATTGCAGATTTAAATAAAGAATAGATTAATAGTTTAGATTATTTTTGGCTGCACTGTCACATACCTAACAAAACGTTGTATTTATAATAGAAATATGCAAAGATAAAAATAACCCAGCTCTTAGACTTTAAATGAGAGAATTATTATGTTTGCCTGGTAGAGAGTGAATATAGAATTACGTTACAAATATATTACTATGTTTAATATCATGGTTTTTATTCAATACAGTAAAGTCACTCTCTATCTAAATATACATTTAATTTGGTAAAACTAAATATTGCAGCTGCACCGGGCCTACACTACACTACTTTTTATGCAGAAGGCGAAGAACGGAGAAGAGCGAAACTTGATGTACAGTATCACAGCCACAGCTGCCCTCTACAACCTACAACACTTTCAAATAGACTTGACTATAAAGTAATAAACTATTTAAGTGCTACGTATTAAAACTAACCCAGTTAAATATGTATACCACAGACTCACACGTAACATAAATAATAACTTTGTGCGACATACATCTAGGTAACGTGGCAAAAGTTTGTGATTTACAATCTGACGCGATGCTCGCCGGGTGCGGGGGGCGCGGGGTGCGGCGTGTGACCGCCGGCGACGGGCGCTGACTGTTGACGCGGTGGGTCGTAAATAAAATACCATAGTCAGTCATACTACGCGGGACGATGTATGCAGTAAGTGATAATCTTGCTAATATTACATGGTGAAGGTTTAAATGTTGAATGCTTGTTAGAGTTTGTAACCTAAACTGCTGAATGGATATCGATGAAATATGGCATAGATAAAACTTATTACTTACTTTTATTTCTTTTTTGCTATACGTTACTATGAAAGCCAGAATTTGACAAAGGAACACGGCAGGAAAATCAACGATGATTTTATTAACTTATTAAAACTTTCGTGAGACATTATACAATATAAGTTATGACACGGCTAAACTCACGTGATAACATTCGGTGTAGGCATCGACAGTTTCGAACCCGTTTAGAGTCCTTCTTCACGATGATTTTTTTTTGGGCATCCATCGTATTTAAGGAAATATATATGACGTTGTAGAAAAATAAAAAATATTAAAATAAAAATAATACTTCAACATTGTTACATAACACCGTCCGCACAAACACAGCGCAACGCGTTGCAACTACTCCACATTTTGTTGTAAATCATAAAGTTGGCTTCCACTTTACACTTGTGGTAACAACTGTTTGTGCTTAGTTATATCGAGTTCTTACTAGTGTCAGTGTAGGTTGTGTAGCGGGATCCGAACCCGTCTTGTACGAAATAGAAGCTTTAATTTATTATGTTATAACTTAAATGTCATAAAATCTACAAATAACTTAATCTAACCTAACTTACTGAATTTGCATATTCGTATTCGATAGGAAGTTTCATTAACTGGCAAAAAGCTAGCGAATTCTGTTAAATTGTAGATTACAAGATAAAGGAGTTTTATAAACATTGAACTCTGCACACATCTCAATATAAATGTTTATAAACTAATTGATCTTCTTTAACATTCTGTACTCGGATAATTGTGTGGTCCCGACGCTCGGGTGATGGGGGGAGGTGTGGGGCGCGGGAGGGCGGTGCGGGGTGCGCGGGGGGTGCGGGGCGGGAGAAGCAATAACATGTTAATGCGGCGTTTGGCCGCTAATCGAGTGCGACGGCGCGCACTATGAGTTTTGTTAGCGGCGCGGCGCGGCGCGGAGCTCGCCACTCGGCTTACATACAGTTACAGCTAACATTGTTTATTTAAGGTGGCTTAATTTATCATTTATGTTTCTGATAGGTCTGACGTTCTAATGTTAACTCACACACATCATAAAATCACTACTTTGCATACTTAGAAAATTTAATTCAAAAACTTACGTTATACTTTGATTTTTTTTGTATACTGAGTAACAAACAACTATACGATGGAACAGTTCGTACAGAACAGGTCGCAACAGTTTTCTAAACACGAATACTGTCGATTAATAAAATCAATTAAATAATTAAAAGTAAAGTTTATATTTAAGTCATTCGGTATCACAAAACAATACAGACATTAACTGCAGTTGTAAACTGAGTGCCGTGTAAGCCGACACTAAACTTGCCAGAGCAAATAGTGAGAAAAATACAATCATTGAGTGCAGTTCAGTTTATTAAATGTTCTCCGTAGCACTGCCTCCCTCTACGGCGCAGCCCTCGCCCCACACTGCTACGAGGCTACGGCCCACAGCCGCTACGGGCTACAGACTACGAAGATCCGTAGTGTAGTCTTTTTTTTATGTTGTTTTTGATTAGTTGAATTTTATTTAATACTGAATTACGAATTCATATTGCTATTGTGTTTTGTTATAGAACTGTGAATAATATCCTTTGGTTTTAGATATGTTAACTTGAGGTTAAAGATGTTTTAATACTTTCATATCTAAAAAACCTAGCAATTATCTACCTGATTAGTCAAATACTTCCTATAATACTTTACATAGAGATCGGTCAATTATCTTCATTATACTTGATCCTTCATTGTCAACTTAGTGGTCAATTAACACAGATTATGTATGGAAACATGTGTATAAATAAAAATAAACCGTTTGTATAAGAACACATTTATTTATCAGTTTCATTAAACTATACAGTTTCTATGCATCGCCGCTGTCTTATCCTACTTACTGTATTTACATATAAATATTTAAATTACACATTTTATATACAATTGTGGGAATTATACAAACTGGGAGACAAATATTAAGGTTAGATGGCTTCTGTGACGATTATCGTATGTTATTAAATGAACATGAACATATGATAGAGAACTAAAACCTTACATTTCTTCTTTTCAACGTTACTTTTAGAACACAGAAATTAATATTTATCGTGTAAATGAAAATAGACATAACAAGTTTTAAATCACAAAATTGGCTAACGATAGTCTACGAAGGAGCAATCCATTTTATAATTTCACAATTTCAGATATGAATATCTTCTTGGATAAAATGTTTTGGGATAATCTGTTCCGTTAAAGTGAATACTGTCATATAATTTATAAACTAAATAGTACTTATTGACAAGTTAGACACAAAAATATGCAGTTCCTGTGACACTTATTGTAAATTCTTAAATAAAACAATGCATTGTATATCTATTTACGGATATCAGCTGCAGTAAATTAACTAATAAAACAATATAAACATTACGAGTGAAATTAAACAAACTGTCAGATAAAATCTCAATTTATATATTTCATTTTTCTTTTCTGAATCATTTTTCACTATTATACGTTAAATTATAGCTTTATTTATCCTTACATCTATTGCTTATATAAATTTATTTACAATTTTTATTTACAATAGATTTTTAAATTAAGTACTGAATTATTTAGTGAACACAAAGTAAAAATGTATAACTTTTAATTAGGAATTTTGAAAGATAAATTGAACATAAAAGTTTTTTAAATAAACTTCGAACTTTCCTTTATCATTTTAAAAAATCATAATATCATTTTATTTTCATTTTCAAAACATTTCAATTAAAAAAGTAGGAAATGAAACGAAGATGATTGGTTGAAAAATAAATAAAAAACTTATTATATTTCATAATCACACATCCATACAGTTTACTTAAATTACATAAAAATATTCTCTTACACTCACAATCTACTAAAGTTGCACATCAATTTGTTTACAATATTTACACAGATTACATTTAGTTAAATATTTATCTATACATGATTTTAGCTTCTGGAATGTCTCATATACTGGAATGTTTGTCATTAACGAATTATGGCAAACAAGCAAGCGGCCATCTAAATTCCGCTCCGCGAATTGACCGCTGCCCACACAAACTCGCAAGAAAGTTGCAAACCTTTTGTCTACCTTTAAAGGAGAGGATGTATGAAAAAATGTAATATCCTTCCATGCGTCCTCGCCCTCCAAATCAAATCCACTTTTTAACCTTTTTCATCTTATAAAATGGTGGGAAGGTGAATGAACTTTTATATGACCTGTTGTTAATTTTTCATACATATAATCTTGGTCTATACCATCTGCATGCCTTTACTTATGGACTCGACGTGTTCTTTGGCCTTCATGCGCAGCGCGGCGATGCTGGTGGAGCGCGGGTCGGGCGCGGCGGGCGCCAGGGGGGCGGGCGCGGGCGGCGCGGGGGGCGTCAGGTAGCTCGGGTAGCCCGACGGCGGGTGGCTGAGGAAGCCTGCAATAACAAGGTGTTTGTCCATTCATTATACTATGTTTATAAATTGCAACATTATACTCGAGAGGTAATCGAGTTTAAAATAGTCTGTAGTTTTTTAACAGTCGACAAGTTTATTGAGAAGGATGTTGTCAAATAAAGCTAAAGGTTCAAGATTTCAGTTAAATTATGGGTAAGAAGCTAAATGCGTGTGTGAAGTGAGTCACGTACCGGGCAGTGCGGAGAGCAGCGGCGGTGCGAGCCACGGGTCGACGGGCAGGCCGAGGCCGAGGCGCGGCACCGGCGCCCCGTACTCCGCCAGCCCCAACCTCGCCGCTTCCATCTTTTCCTGCCGGCGCCACTTTGCGCGACGGTTCTGGAACCACACCTGCAACAAATACAGAACTACCTTAGACATCGATTCTTACTTATAAATCGTAAGTTCACCGCACAATATTAAATGGTAAATGGAAGGCGTAGCTAATAGACGTAAACGTCTTTTCATCGTTATGTCGAGTCAATTCATTATGTTGAGCGTAGTTCCGTGCGCGCCGCCGGCACATAATAACCATCACGAACCAGCAAATTGTCAAACAACAGTCAACTTAACAGATTAACGAAGTGAGCGTGCTCGTGCGGGGCGGCCGTGGCGGTAATTGATGCCGCGCCATTTATTAGAGCATCAAACTTTACGAGAGGGGAGGGCGCGGGGGGCGCGAGTGAACAGGGGGGAGGGAACCCCGAAAGCCTCGCCGCAGACGATAAATCAAGGAGAACACGTCACTAAACGGTTTGTGAGGCCAGACGTAACGAAACAAAACTAACTTTGAATACTGCGAGACATGAAACGCGAGCTCGATCACATAAATGTACCATCACCGTGTCATCCACCCTGCTAAATGGCTGTCGGACCGATTTAAACTTTAAGGTATTGTCGATCAGTTTAATTTGGCTCGAGCTTTGGCGACGTATGTTTTGAATGTGGTGTCAAATTGTAGTGTGAAATGATATATTCGTGGGGTGCACAGAGCCGCGGCGGTCGCGTGATCACTTCGATTTGGCGGAGGCAAGCAAACGAGGCGACGCGACGCGAGACATGCGAGCTCTTCGCCGGCAAACGTATTAAATGTCTCTTGGTATCGGAAAGCGATAACGATTTGGAAACGAACAACAGTACCGTGTGATCAATGTGAGACATTTGCGGCACGAAGCAAACTGCCGGCTCGTATACTCTGCCAGCGATATTTGTATGGAACGTCTATTCGATTTAAGTTCCACACTTTCAACTTACAGATTAACAGAAGAGGAGTTATATGCTATCATCGTGATTCGTCAATATTACAAATATTGTGTTAATGTGCCAATCTAGCGTACGGAAGATCTTGATACGTCCGCTAAGTTGGAGTATTCTTGTAACGATTACCGTTCAGTAACAACTAGCGTTCTTTTGGCTTTAAAACTTTAGGAGCGAGACGCTTGTTAACACAATGAAATTAATAAGAAAATCATTAAAATGACACGAGAGTGTTGTGTGCAGTTTAGTGTAGAGTCGTGCGAGTGGGGTGAAGTCGTGGTGTCGGCCCGTACCGGACACTGCGCGGCCCCGGTACTTCACGCGCGTTCACAACCGTCACACACAAACACAGCCATTTTTATAATTTTTTATTGATCTGATTGAGTGTTACAACGTTGTACATTAATACGATTAAATTAGAAATGAGGTACGTCAAACAATTTTAAAATAAAAACGAACAATTTACTCAAAACATATTTGAAAAGCAATCAGATTTAATTACGTGATATAATCAATTACGTCAGCAAAGTAACTGTACATTTAAAAGCTAAATCAACTTATCGCACTAAAGATTAAAACGACAACAAAATAAATAAAAAAGTTATGCCGCGCTCGCCGGAATCTTGATAATCCGACCCAATTAGAGTTCGTTAAAATGCTAGTGCGGCGCTAGTGTCGCACTCGCCGGACATCGTACAAATTTAAATCACTTCGGAAATCTAATTATAGAAGGCAAACATGAACGTTTTGGTTATTAATAAAATAAAAATTTGATCGCAGTGGTAGCGGGCCG